GGAAGACTACGATGCCGCCGAAGAAGCTGTTCGCACACATCAGCAAACAGTGTTTTGTTCAGTAGCTGCAGGCCAAGAATACCAGCAGCTCGTAGTCGTGGTAGTCGTTTGAGTGAGCACAGTAGCCGTTGGTAGCACCAGTAGCTGAACAGCCACGGATCAGTTGCCCGCAGGAGCCGCTGCGCGCCTGATCGGTAGCGGCAGATAGCCGAGTCCCCGAAGAATGATGATTAGAAGGTTCTTGCGAGCTCAATCCATACGGGACTTGTGAATTCTGGTGATAAAGGTCCTTTCACTTGTGTTGCTCAAGATTACCGTTTAGCGACAAAATTGTGGAAAACGCTGAAGTCATTCAAACTCCGCCAACACGTGTCAGATTCCGTCATCGATCCGTGATCAAAGACACGTGTTGGTTGATGTCGTGGCGCCCTTTTCTCTTCCTTTCCCCCATCTCCCTTCCCCTCGTTCTCCTTCTCGGAGTCTCAGCACATCCTCTCAAACCACCCACCTCCATGCACAACAGCCTACCTCCCCACAGTGTCCTCAGACCCGCTCGACTTCACACATCCTCGTTCTCCCGCTTTCTCAAGTCTTACACCCAGCGTCGTGTACGGCTTCAAGGCTTTCTCAAGACACTCAAGGCTTCACAATTCTCAAGTCAGCAAGTATCTATATTCAAGTCAAGGGCTCCAAGTTCTCGTCGCAGCCACCACCTGCATCACTGCCAAATCTCGTCTTGTCACCTCAAATCCCCTTGGCTCAAGACCCGAAATTAACTTTGGCCCTGCAAACCTCAAAATACCTCAATACTCTGCAGATAGAAACATCCAAGTCCGACTTTCGCCCGGACCCCGGGACTATAATTCACGGAGACTTCAGGACATAAAGTGTGTGTGCTCAATACATTGGCGTTCCTTCACTCTCTCATGTTTTCTTCGCTCCCTACGTTGCCGCCACGAACATCATCCCCAGTGGCGCAAGCACGGGCCTTGACATCGCGCACATTGTCCCCCACACTGCGCGCGCAAGCCTCACTCCCGACGTGCGGCGGCGGGCACTCAGTGCCGCACGACCGCGTGCACATACTTATAGTTTAATTTGAATGCATTATATTTCTCCTGCAACACTTTTCCGCTCCCCTGCAAAATTTAAACCAGACTACAGCTGAATATTGTGAGCTATTGTGAGATATGAACAACTACTGAGTTCGCAAGCCACAACTACTAAGGGCTACCAGGCGGCTACTGAGCCTCACTGCCAAGGCTACCAGGGGCTACCAGCCTTTGGCGGGGAGCTACCAGGAGCCTTATATGGGGGGACTTGCCTACCAGGCTACCCCGTCTACTGAGACGTCGTAGCACTACGTAGTCAAGGCATTTTTTGCTGATGCACTGATGCCTGACTTTTCGCAATTTTCTGCTGCCACGTCCAATCCCACCAACAGTGCACTGAAAAAACTAGACGACACGGCGGGGGAACAAGACTCGGGCGGGGAAGTAGACTAGGTGGTCGATGGAACACAAAGGAGACAAAGTCGAGGCGTCGGCCTGTATGCAAGGCGGGGAGACACGACGCGAGACGGAAAAGAGGTGGAGTCATGTGATGGCGAGATGGTGGCTTCTTGCCAATCCCCGTGGTCTCTCTAGATGATGTAAGTGGCCGGCAAGCGGCGGGCACAAACAGGGTGTGTCTGAAGGGTAATTATCGAAGACGGACTCGAAGTTGAGGCATCGGGGAGCCCCAAACGATGTTTAACCTCGTTCCTTGGACCTATGTTTGAAATTCTCGCGTAACTGTACTGCATTAATTAATATTGTGGTGTTTGTGAGGCAAGGAAAAGTATTCTGATTCACAATGCAGTCATTCACAGCTTAAAATTTCGGGGCCTGACGACGGCGCTGGGAAAGAACTGAAAACTGGAAGTGAACCCACGATGTCAGCAGTAATGACAAGTGATCACGTTTTAGTGCGCCGGCACGTGAGTGTTTTGGCGACATTTTTGGTCTCTGGAGCACAAAAGAACTAACGTTCTGTTTGTGAACCATCCAGTTTTACCTGCCGTTATCACACGACCGTGGGCTCAAGGAGGCGGAGAAGGCTTTCTCTGATGTGCTTCACAAACTCCGTGCGGAACATTGTATTTGTGGTGATGGACCGTCGCTCGACGAATTACTAAATCCATTGATTGAGCGAGAAGATTTGGATTCAGAATTTCTGCGCTTTGCTGATGGGGACGAAGGGACGCAGGAAATTTTGGATTACATGCAGAGGGAAGCAAAGAGCTCGGACGGCAACGAGGAGCCGGAGGAGCCAGAATTCAAATTACAGCAAGAAAGATGCAATGGCCGCCGTTGATCTGCTTCAGAAGATTGTGCAACACTGCCCGGATCTGGATGAGGTGTTGCCTTTAGGTGGTTTTTTGCACAAGTTTCGGGCCTCAATGATACAGCTGATTTGGAAAAGATAGAGGGGTTTCGTAAATCGTTGATCCTCGTTTCTTGCTTACCTTTGTTGACTGATTGATCCTGGGCTGTTGACGCCGACACTCAGAACTTCCTTTGAATCCAGCCAAAATTGTCAGGTTGAAATGCTGTTTTACATAGAGTTGTGAATATAATACTTAGGTATGGTTCAGTACTGTGTGCAGAACGAATTAGCTGGATTTCAGACCGGCGGCGAAAGATGACGTCGTTGTGGGGCGCTTTTCGGTCAACAGAGGTAAGCAAAAAATGAGGATCAACGATTTACGAAACCCCTCTATCTTTTCCAAATCAGCTGTACGCGAAATGGAGGAGGGGAAGGTTCAGCGTGAGATAACTTCATTTTTCAAGTAAACAAAGCTTCCAGACGAAAAAAATGATTATTTTATTCAATTTATTTGGTGTAGAATATTCGTCATATGGAATTGCCTTGGGGGCCTTCCCGACTGTATTCCATATGAGAGATTGTACTGTACCAAACATGTTAAACAGCACTCACCTACCTTCCTAGAGGCTGGACTTTGCTGTGGGACTTGGAACGAGCATCGCAAGTTGGGTAAAATGAGCGGCCGATCGTTGTTTGTAGTTGTTAGCATCTCCTTCCCTCTCACTTTCACCACCATTCCGCCCTTCCCCGTTTCCCTGGGACACCCTCCGTCGGACTACCGCACCTAAGTATTCTCAACAACCCATTGCTGCGTTATCAGACCTCCCAGGGCCTCTTTGGTCTCGAATTCTGCTAGCGCACCCACCCGGCTCCTTGCTTGCCCCTTCCCCCCCGCGCTCGAATCCACCCCAGCAGCAGCCCCTGGTCCTTGAGTAACCCTGCCTCAATGCGTACCTCAAATATCTAGGCTGCCGCTAGCGTTGCGCGTCCGCTGTGACTACCTTTGCACTCGCCCCGCTCCCCTGCTTGCCCCTCCCCCCCGCGCCCCCACACGCCCCATCAACAGCTCCCTGTTCTTTTAGGACCTCGCTCTCACATGTACCTTCAATATCTAGGCTTCTACTGCTTTTGCGCGTCCGCCACGGTCACTTTGACACTGCCCGCCCCGCCCCGCTTGCACCCGGGTCCCCCACCTCCCTCGCCCTTATTGACGGCTCCCTGTTCTTACAGGACCTTGCCCACGCATGCACCTTCGATGTCCAAGCCCCTGCTGCCTTTTTGCGTCATCCACGCAAGTTTCTGCACGCACCCCCCGCACCGCTTGTACCCGGGTTCCCCTGCGCCGCACTGCCCGATTGGCGGCTCCTCGTCCTCGAGCGACTTTGCCCCCATATGCTCCTCAAATATTTAGGCGGCTGGTGCCTTTGCGCGTCCGCCACGGTCGATTCTGCACCCGCGCCGGATCGCTTGCACCCGCGCCCCCGTATATCTATCCACCTTATCGAGGGCTCCCCGCCATAGAGGTACTTCGCCCCCACGCGCACCGTAAGTATCTAGGCGCGCGCGGTCTTTGCATGTCCGCCACGGCTGTTTGTGCCCCGCCCCCCCCCCGCGCCCCAAACCACCTCAACGACGGCTCTTCCTCCCTGTGCAACATGCACCCTAAATTTCTAGACCCCCGCTGCCTTTACACGTCCGCCGCGGTCGATTTTGCGCTCCCTGGCCCGGATCACTCAGTGCGCCCACTCCCCCGCGAAATTACGCTACATGTAGCTTCACCGTGATACACTACCTTCCGGCCCATAGCTACCTGCAATCTCTTCGCGACAGCCATTTTTGCACTCCCACATCATTTCTTTTCTGTTTCTAAAATGTACCCATTTTATCCTTACCATACTTGCTAATGTGTCTCTTTTGAAATGCAAAAATGATTCACTCACTGCTTTGCCTGCCCGCAGCAAAAGTGAGAAGAATAGGAACTTCGCGAACTATACACACGGATGCTACAGTGCTCATCTGTAGCAATTCTATCTCTACGCGCCGGTCACAGGCTGCCATGGAAGGACCCCGGTATATAATAACACATTCTCATAAGAATGAACTGATTTTTTTCGGTCGAACTTTCGCAAGTCTTTATCTTCAGTTCATCTGAAGAAGGACACCGAACGGTGAGGCGGGCTTAAAGGCGATTGCCAAAATGTTCCCACGGTTCGATGTCCGTCTCGCGCTGCGAGTCCGTCGTGAAGAAACCAAGTAACATAATGTGTGGGCTTTCCATCGACGGAGATTTTCTCATTACAGGAATGCTCACCGGCAAGAAGCAATAAAGACCGTGACGAGGGAAAAAAGACTGGGTGGCTTCTGGTGGGGATCGAACCTGATCGAACCCGCGTCTCGTGTTCCTAGCCGTGGAACATTGAAGGAATCTCCGACAGAGGCATGTTTTACCTGGGATATTAGGCGATAAGTACATGGAGTGAGAAGTTGTGAATGGAAATGAACATCGCCGGGAGGACTATGGAATTCAGTTCAACTTGACCCATAGGCGGCGCGGCAATGGAAGGAGGGGTTGACTGTGGAAGACAGAACACAAGGGCCCGGAAAGGCAGGAAAAAGCGCAGGTGCAGGAAGTATGCCTCCGGTGGGATTCGAACCCACGTGTCCTCAAGAAACGTCTCTGATTGTTGATAGTTCGAGGCGATCTCCCGTCGACCTGCAGAGGCTTAATGCTACTATGGATGTGTTCGATATATCGTAGACTCGAGCTCCGAGGGCGTGAGAGGCCGGTTTGGAGTGATTCCCAAGGGATGTTCCCACGGTTCGATTTGAACTCGCGGCTCGCGCTGTTGTTCTTCCTCTTGGACTACATTTTTGATGCTGAATATTTTGCCTGATTTGCCAAATTGAATGAGGGAAGAGGGGTAGATTGTGTGAGCTGTCGACCGAAGAGTGTGTTGTGCGGAAACCAAACCAAACGCAAACTCGTAAGTTCCTTCTGAATCGAAGGTAAAACGCGAGGAGCAAAAAAGGCGGTGCAGGCTGCTGGAGGAAAAAACGGTGCCGCCACCTCAAGCCTCTGGCGGGAATCGAACCCGCGTCTCTTCGACAAGCCGGCACAAATATCCCAGATTATCCTAAATTTTCCGAAGCGTCTCCCATTGATCTGCAGAGGCTTGTACTACGATGAATGTATGTATATAGACCAAATGCGAAGAAGGAAGGAGTAGGGTCACGGTGGACAGTATGGCGAAGTAGTTTCTTGCACGATACTTGATTAGAATTACACTGAGATGCTTGTGATGCACAAATGTGCAAAGTGGAGGCCGTGTGGAGCCGTGTAGACTGCATTGCGTTCGCTTTAGCGTGCAATGATCAACTCGATCTGCGAGGTAATGCGCTGGATATTAGCGTCGACCGCATCGATTCGAGTCTGCATTAAAAACAGGCAGTAGGGAGGCCGAAGAGAGCAAGCCGGATTTTGCCGCACGCGGGCCGATGCTGGCCGGCAATCAGTGGCAGTGCTACCCTGTTCGTCGACCTCTTCCACCTCGCACAGTGGTCTTCGCAAACATGCCCTCCGAGTCCGACCCATTGCTTCAAGAACCCATCGACATGACTCAATACCCAACCATGTTCGATCCATCCAGTCTCGTCAGAAAGGGATTCTGCCCCGTCCATAATAATTCTGGCCATGGGGTCGCTCGCCCAACCCATTCGCTATACTACGAGCAACACGGAACCGGCTCCAAAGTCTGTCTGTCCTCCGCCCCTCAGTGCGGTATTACTCGAGAGCTTGCCCCAATGATGAATTGAAGCGCGTGGTACTGATAAACGGCCTCAACACCAACTCGTTCGGATGGGACTTTCAAGTGCGGAGCCTGGCGCCGGTGTGCTCGGTGCTGGTGTTTGACAACCGGGGCGTGGGGTACTCGGGGTATCCGACGGGGCGCTATACGTATGTATGATGTTCGCGCGCGCTGACTTTGGGTGTTAACCAATCAATATGGGGCCCAGGACTTCGGGGATGGCGGAAGATATTCTGGTGCTTCTTGAGCACATTGGCTGGACGGCGGCGCGCCAGCTCCACGTCGTCGGCGTGAGTCTCGGTGGGATGATCGCACAAGGTATGCACGCAGGTCCGAAGAAAGAATATCAAGCCTGACGTCTCCTAAGAATTGGCTTTACGAATCTCCGACCGCATAGCCTCCCTCACCCTTTGCGTAACGACACCAGGCGGAATGCCATGGCAGAACCTCCCACCCGTCAGTCTCCACGTTCAAAATAAATAAATAAAACAACTGATATCGAGCCTCCCTCCAGTTCCAAGGTATCAAATCCCTCACCACGTACGCCACCGCATACTTTCGTTGCTCTCCACTCATCTTTGCAGCCTCCTGTTCATAAAGGAACCCGCGGATAAAGTCCCAACCGTTCTAAACATGTTATACCCCTCTTCTTGGCTCGACGAACCCGCCGCGGACGACGACCGCCAACGCTCCAATCGCGAGGTCCAAACCGAGGTACCCACCATCTAATTATTGTAAATAAACACCGGAAATCCCACCATCGAACGCACAGCTCTACCTCCGCCGCGTCCTCCTCAGCCCCAAACAGCGCCTCCCCGGGCACGTCTCGCAGCTCCTCGCCGCCCTCACCCACCACGTCCCCCCCGCCCCCCTGCGCCGCCTCTCAACAACCATCCCCAAAATCGTCATCCTCTGCGGCGACCAAGACCACCTGGTCGACGTGCGGCACTCGCGCGCCCTCAAGGCGTGCATGCCCGAGGCCGAGTTCGTGCAGTGGAAGGATACGGGGCATGGGATTCATTCGCAGCGCCGGAGGGAGTTTCACGAGCTTTTGGTGAGGGTTTTTGACGAGGCGGGTGGGGATGCTGGGCTGTGAATTCGAGCTAGAATAATTGTATGATTAGATCTTTGCAATACATGCGATTCTCGATACACTTTATCGCTCGCTTCAAGTCCATCCTAAGTACCTACCCCGCTAGATTACATCCTCGCCTCGTATTTGAAAACGAACGAATGAGCCATTAACCCTCTCTCATTAAGTAACACCCCACACCAATACAAGAAACACACCCTCCCTCTACTGTACTCTAGCACCAACTCTAGCTCTAGCCAACACTCCAGCTCTAGCTCTAGCTCTAGAATCTACCTACACTACCCCCATCCCCATCCCCATCCCCGCCCGCACATACAACAAGATACACACAACACATACACCCCTTCACGCCATCCCCCGAGCAGTGGCCGCACATCCCCCCTCCACCGCCGCCCGCCGCATCTCGCGGATCCCATCCCGGTGCGCGCGGATCGCGAGCACGATGCAGACGTGCCAGATTGCGTGTGAGCCTACGAGCGAGGGGGTCAATAAATAAGTTGGAGTGGAGGCAGGAGGAAAGCAGGAGAAAGCAGGAAAGCAGGCAGGCTCGGCGCGCACTGCCGTTCAGCCCTCCTTCCCTCGCACTTGGAGGGAAGAGCATCGTGCATCGCGCTCGCCGGATGCGGTGGGCCCCAATCACATATCTACGCCGCGCTGAAGGCCGTCGCGCGCCCTCACTCCTTCACCCAGGCCCCGCCCCCGCAAAGTAAAAAAAAGAGAGAAAAGAAAACGCAAAAAACGCACCTCCCCCACACGCATCAGTAATCCTCCCCGCCCAGCTCCTCCACCCGCGCCGCGCCCCGCCAGCGCCGACCCACCGCTCCGGAATCTGCGCCGTGTAGAATACGAGGCCGACGACGTAGAGCGCGAGGGAGGGTAAGAGGGGGGCTGTGAAAGGAAAGGTACGTTAGCATGCGTTCGTTCGTTGGGCTTGGACGTGAAGGAAGGTGGGAGGAAGGAAGGGATGAGACGGGAGGATTGAGGAAGGGGGTAGGTAGGTACGATTGGAGGTAGGTACGATTGGAGGTGGAGGGATTGGAGGTGGAGGGATTGGAGGTGGAGGGATTGGAGGTGGAGGCAGGGAGGGACGATAGGAGGGGGTGTACTCGAAGGGAAGGAAGGAAGGACACGAATGTATGTATGTATGTATGTACGTAGATGGATTTGGAATTGGAATTGACTTGGAGTGGAAGGAAGGAAGGGAAGACTCACCAACAAACGCAACCATCCGCCCCCAACCCTGCAGCGCCGCGATCCCCGCGAGGGGCGCGAGCGCCGAGAAGGAGATGCCCACGAAGAAGGCCGTGCGCCAGAGCTGTGTGTGCGAAGGGAAGGGTTAGCAGAGGTAGCGGTCGCTGGGACGGAATACGAAGGGAAAGAGAAGGGAATGAAAAAAGGGCGCGAGACGACGCTGCTGCTGCTGCTGCGCGCGACGCTATCGCAGCGAGCAGCCTTCGCGCGCGTATAACGGCGCAGGCAACAATGCGACGGCCCAACGACGATTCGAAAGCCCCCAATAAAAAAGCGATGAAGAACAAAAAACTCACCCGAAACTCGACCCGATTAAACCACGCGCAAAACGGCAGCACGTTCCCCGACACGCCCGCCGCCGCGCACAGCACCAGACACGCCGCGCCCACCGGGTGGTACGCTGGCCACTCGGCCGCCCAGGTCGCCGCGCGCGAGGGGAGGGAGACGAGCGGGGAGACGAGGGTGGTGTACGCGGTTGCGAGTGCGGAGGCGGGCGCAGCGGCCACCACCGGCGCCGCTCCGCCCATACCGACGGCCTCCTGCAGCCGCTCGATGGGGTGCAGATGCATCTCCCCCACGGCCTCGACGAACGAGGAAACGGGGTGCAGGACGCGGTGCCCGAGCGGCGTCGCCTCGACGGCGGCCTCGGCGCAGGCGTACCCGTGGTGCACGACGGTCGCGATGGAGGTTGCGATGAGCCTGGGGGAGGGGGGTTAGTAAAATGTACAATGTAAAATGTAAAGGGGAGTAAAATGAGGGATAGGATGGGCGGGAACAAAAATGAATGAACGTAAGAAAGGATAGAAAGATAGAAAGACGCGGTACTGCCCCGCCCATCGCCCCCAGCCCAGCGCAGCCCTCGGTATATAAACGCGCGCGCGCATCGAGCGAAAGAACGCTTCGGTAACATCGCGCACCATGCACTTGAGGGCAGGATGATAGACCCCAGACCCAAGCGTCGTCTGGCACGACGGGTTCCCCACCCACCAGCAGACTCTCCCTCTCCCTGTCGCACTCGCTCCCGACCCGACTCCGAGCATCGTCCCCGACCCCGCCATCAACATCGGGCACGGAAGACCGACCTCCCCGCTCTACCCCCTCCCGACAACCCTGAAGAAAGGATAGAAGGACAAAGCCGCGGCCCGCCCCGCCCATCGTCCCCAGCCCAGTGCAGCCCTCGGTACACAAACACGGCGCGCATCGAGGGGAGGAACGCTTCGGCAGACTCTCCCCCTGCCGCTTCCCCTCCCCTCCCCTCCCCCACAAAAACACCAAAACCAAAACGCCCCCCCCCAAAAAAAAACAAAAGAATAGCTCGGATACGAAGGAATAGCACTCACCACCCAATCCCCACATAATCCACCCTCGCACACGTCTCCATCGCGCCGCGGTGCGCACACCCCGCCATCGTGTGCCAGAGCGCGCTCGCGGCGAGACAGGCGAGCGCGAAGAGGACGAAGAGGCGTTCGTCCATTGGGAGTGGGAGGGGGGCGTCTGTATATGTGTATGTGTTGAGTAAATGACAACATACAAGATGAGGCAGGAGGAAGAGAAGATGTGGGATGGAGAAGGAGATGGCGGAAGGGAGGGAGCGGTGCAGCAAAGGGCAAAAGGAATGTGGAGCGCAGGGTAAAGAAAGCGGGTGGAAGAAGGCAAGAAAAGGTAAGGAAAGGAAAGGCAAGGACGCACCACCACCCGCAGCGAATAACGTATACCTTCCCGCGTCGCGCGTCAGCCACGCCGGGAGCACGCAGCCTAATGCCCATCCCACCCAGCCGAGCACCGCGCCTAGCCCCGCGCCCACCGGCCCCACCACCCCGCGCACTCCCTCCGGCACCCACTCCCGCAACGTAGTAACAACGCCGTTAAAAGACAATTGCGGCCACAAAAACGCACCCCCCCAAAGCCCCAACGGCACCAAATGCGTGTACACATTAAGACTCTCGTTGTGCCACCACCGCGGCGCCGGGAGGAGGGAGAGGAGGAAAAGGTGCGGGCGGTGCAGGGGGATGAAGCGGTAGTTGTGCGCGACGAAGGGGTTGTTCTGCCACGCGGGGGGGAGGGAGGCGTAGGAGAGGAGCTTGGTGCCGGAAGCGGAGAGGAGGAGGGCGTGGGCGTGGGCGGCGGCGTCTGCTGCGTCCGTGCCTGCGTCCGTTGATTCGGCGGGGGCGGCGTCGCGGGAGGAGACGCGCGAGAGGGAGGGGAGGTTGGGGAGCGAGGGGAGGGAGGCGGGGAGTTCCGCGAGGAAGGCGTCGACGTCCGCGCGGAAGGCGTCCAACAGCTCGCGCGGCGTCGTAAAGTCAAACTCGAAGTCGAAATCAAAGTCAAAGCTGGGGCGGCTGAACTCGAAATCAAAGCTGGGGCGGGAGAAGTCGAAGGAGGGGCGGGAGGGGAGGGTAAAGTCAAGGGAAGGGAACTCGTCTGCGAGGACGCGGTGGAGGGTACGGAGGCGTGCGGAGAGGGTGGGGACGTAGGAGAGGGGGCGCTTGAGGGTGAGGACGTCCTTGACCAGTCCGAGGTCGAGGTCGGGGAGGTCGGGGAGGTGGGAGGAGACGTCGGCGCGGATTGCGCGGAGCATGTCCAGCGCGCGGGCGGCGGGGGAGTCGGTGTCGAAGAGGGCGAGACGGCGCTCGAGGTCTGCGAGGTAGGACAACACCAGGAAGCGGAGGGAGGCGAGGGCCTGGGCGGGGGAGGCGGCGGGGGACAGGTCCAGTGCTTCGAGGGAGAGCGGGAGGGGCCGGCACGGCGGGAGACGGAGCGGGGCGGCGCGGGCACGGGGGGCGGGGGCTGACATCCGGCGGCGGTGCAGCCGCGGTGGGCGGGCCCCATCCTCAGCGACAGCAGCCATGCAAGTTGAAACTAAGGAGCAGGTTTCGGCCCGGTTACACTCCACCTTCATCAAACGTTCATCTAAGATCGTGCTCGCTGTCGGTCGGCATTGTGTGGGTCGCATGCGGTCCTATGCGGTGATCTTCAAACGACTTGAAGCAGTCTAGTGTCTGTGATTCCAATCAATATCGTGCAAGAAGTTTGAACTCGCTGTCACATTTGGTGCTTATATTCATACGTTCACAGCAGTACTCAAGCCTCTGCAGATCATCGGAAGATCCCCTCGAATTTGTTATGATATACAATTCCGTACAATTAGTGAGGATGTCGGAAAAATCTTTACTGCCTGCTCAGGGAAAATATGCTCAAATATTGTCATACCAGGCCGTCAGACTGCCGGGGGGTCAATATGATCCAGAAATGTACCGTTTTCGAATATCAGACAATATCAGACTGGCCAGATCATATCAGCAATATAAGGCAATATAAGGTCTGGTTAGATGTTTCTTTCAGAGAAAGCAAAAGTCTGACTTTCCTTTCTACCATTTGAGGCAAGGGCTGGCCGGGATGTAAACTTGACTAGAAGAACATATGTATTTGTAGTGTAGTGTAGTGGTAAGTAAGTAAAGCACAATGGTTAGATTCACAATCTTAATAGCCCTTGAGTCAGTTATCGACGTGCAGGCCCGCGCATACACCCAAGGGACCCACTGGAAGGTCATGACTTGAGTTATGTACCTCGCTCCGGGCAACGGGTGGAGGCCCCACAGCGGCTCCACAACTCACATAAGTGCCAAAATATAATTCTGAAAAGTATTCCAGGTGGATGGGTGGTGTTGAGAGACTGCACAGTATAAGTTTGAGGATTCCCAAGGAGCTTTGAGGACAAAAAGAATAAGGTGGGAGGGGGGGTAGAATATTTGAACATAAATGGTCTTACCACGCCTGATATTGCTCATGCCCCGGCAATATCAGATCATTTCAGGTCGTTAGACGGTTTCAGATCTGATAGGTCAACAAAGATTTTTCCGACAGAGACGTGGGTTCGATTCCCGCCCGAGGCTTTCGACCGCGCCCTGGATTTTTTTTCCCTCAAACAGCCTGCCCCTTCTGTTTTGCTGCTCACATCTTTACCTTCAATTCACAAGCTTCAAAGAACTCATGCAAGCCCGAATACACAAGAGCTACCAATTCGATTTCCACACAACGGACTCGGCCTTCCTCGACACTCGACTGGATCCCTTCAAGTTCTTCCCTTCCCTCATTCTAAGTAACCAAATAAGACGTATCTGGGATGAACACAGTTCAAACAAAGGACAACGGGGTTCAAATCGAACCGTGAGAACCTCACCAGAATGGCGGCTTGCGTAGATCACCTCTCTCAAGTATGTGAGTGTGCAGACTCCAGTACAAGAGGAGACGTGGGTTCAAATCCCATCGGAGGCATAGGATCTCGGGCGCAGAAGGTTCTTTCCTCTCCCCCTGATTTATTTCAACTTGTGTCTTCCTTCCTTAAGCTTACTGTACTTATATCCTACATGCACAGTAACATCCAAGCCTCTGTGGACCAACGTGAGATCACCTCCGATTGTTTCGCGAACTAAAACATTCTTCGGGGGAGATGTGGGTTCGATTCCCGCCAGAGGCTTAAATGGTTCCCAAAAGTCTTTTTTCCTCCTCATTACGTTCTTTTTTGTTTTCTTACTCCTGGCCTCAGACTTCTCTTTAAAGGAATGCTATAATAAGGAGTCTGGGTTGATGGAGGGGCCATACCTAAGTCCACAGCAACACGACGGACTTGGGGAGGCAAGTCTCCCGTAACTTGGCATGGTTTTCCTCAACAGCTCACACAATTACCACCCCTTCCCCTCTTCCCCTTATTTGATTCAGCAATACTGAATATTTTTACAACGCAAAATGGAAGTTTAAATTCAACCATGGGAACACCTCTGCCAATTGCCGTTCTGCTCCACTTCTTCCTTCCTTCTCAGATCCGGTACACACTTATATCGAACATCTACAGTGTCATTCAAGCCTTTGTGGATCAGTGTTAAATCACCTCTCCTAAGTATTTGAGTGCGCAGTTTCCACTGCAAGACGAGACGTGGGTTCAAATCCCACCTGAGGCATAATTTGAGTCTTCTGTTTTTTCCTCCTCCCTCCCCTTGTGTTTTCTTTGTTTTTCCAACAGTCAACCCTTCCGCGGCATGCCACATATCGCTGGCCTAAATAGCTCAAAACATTTCTGGACCCAATTCAAATTACTGTACTCACAACCTGCTCTTCCTTTGTCACACTACTAGTATTTGCTTAATGTATATCCAACATCCACAGTAGCATCCAAGCCTCTGTGGATCAGTGTTAGGTCACCTCTCCCAAGTATTCAATTTGCATATCCAGTGTAAGAGGAGACGTGGGTTCGAATCCCACCAGAGGCATAGCCAGCGGGCCGAGATTTTTCCTCCTACCGTTTCTTTCTCAACAGTCATCCTTCCTTCCTCCGCCGCTGCCCATCACGACTATTGCCCAGGGAAAAAAGTCAAGTTGAACAGAATTCCGTGCCAAGTTGAAGTCCGTGCTCGCTGTCGTTGCCGTTGTGTTGCTCCATACTGTGATCTTCAGCACATTTATTCATACGCTCACAGTCCTACTCAAGCCTCTGCAGATCACCGGCAGATTGCCTCGGATTTGTTGCAGTGACAACGAGTAGTGAGGAGACGCGGGTTCAATTCCCGCCAGAGGCGTTTAAAGGCCCCGTGGACTTTTTGCCCTCAAACAGCCTGCACCATTTTCTTTTGCTCCTCATGTCTTTATGTTGGGTTCACAAGCTTTAAGAAACTCACGAGGGAGAACCACAGTGCGGGCTGGGGTTCAAATCGAATCGTGGGAACCTCACCAGGATTGCGGCTTTTCCTTCTCAGATCGGTACACACTTATATGGAACATCCACAATAGCAATAAAGCCTCTGTGGATCAGCGTGAGATCACCTCTCCCAAGTATTTGAGTGCAGGTCCTTCTGCAAGAGGAAGTGTGGGTTCGACTCCCACCGGAGGCATAGACCAGTGGGCCGGGAATTTTTCCCCCTCCATCCCCGTGTTTTTTTTTTTCTTTTTTCCAAACAATCAACCCTTGCTTCATCCGCATCAGCACGATTATTGCCCAAAAAAAGGAATTGAACAGACAAGTTGAAGTCCAAGTTGAAGTCCATTTACTCCTCATTTTTTGTGAGCGTTTGGGTTTATCTGAGGCCCAAGTACATGTACAAGCACGCCTCGTGGATCAAGATCACTCGAGTCGATAACTCAAAGACACGCGGGTTCGATTCCCGCCAGAAGCGTGAGCAATCTGCATGACATCCTTTTTTCACTCCTCACAGTCTTTTTGTTACTCCTGGCCTCAGACTTCTCTTTAAAGGAATGCCATAATGAGGGCGTCCAAGTTGACGGTTGACAGCAACACAACGGACTCGAGGAGGCAAGTCTCCCGTAACTTGGCAATGGTTTTCCTCAACAGCTCACACAATTCATCCCTCTTCCCTCATTCGATTCGGCAATACTGAATATTTTCACAACGCAGCAAGACGGAAGTTCAAATTGAACCGTGGGAACATCTTCGAAATTGCCGTTCCACTCCACTTCTTCCTTCCTTCTCAGATCCGGTACATACTTATATCGAACATCCACAATAGCCATGAAGCCTCTGTGGATCAATGTTAGATCACCTCTCCCAAGTATGAGGTTAGTATGTTTGCAGGAGGAGATGCAGTCTCCTACCCAGCCTCAGTTGCGGGGTTGGGAGTCACTGTAGTATTATAACACTGCTATATCCGTGGAACTATAATACCGTAAAAAGCTTGATCGCAACATCTGTCAAAATTTATTGCTTCCGAACTTCAAGGCCCAACCCCTCCACAGAGGCTGGCCTTTAACAACTGTAAACAACATAGCCACCCGCTTAGTTGAGTTTTTGCAAACCTTGCATGTTGAGTTCCGGTCCTTCCAGAAAATTGTTGGTGGGCCTTCTGTGGGATCTGGAGTCTGCTGGGCACCATTGCGGAATATTTCGGGCAAGAAAGATTTCAAAGTTGAACATTTTCACAAAATGTGGCTATGTTGTTTACATTTGTTAAAGGCCAGCCTCCGTGGAGGGGTTGGGCCTTGAAGTTCGGAAGCAATAATGAATCTAGAACATCAATTTGATGGGTCATTGATTTCTCGTAATTTACAGCTGCGTACTTCCTACACTAACTCCCAACCCCGAAACGCGAGGGTGGGTAGGAGACTGGAGGAGATGTGGGTTCGGATCCCACCAGAGGTATTCGACATCGTCAACATGGATTTTCCTCCTCCCTACCATTTTTTTCTTTCAATAATCAACCCTTCCTTCCGCCGCTGCCCATCCTGACTTGGGCTGTTGCCAAAAAGAAATCAAGTTGAACAGAATTCCAGGCCAAGTTGAAGTCCTACGTACTATGATCTTCAACACATTTATTCATATGCTCACAGTCCTACTCAAGCCTCTGCAGATCACCGGCAGATTGCCTCGGATTTGTTGCAGTGACAACGAGTAGTGAGGAGACGCGGGTTCGATTCCCGCCAGAGGCTTAAGCTGGGGAACTCATTTCGTTTTCCTCAAACAGCCTACACCGGCTTTTTTGCTCCTCACTCAATTCACAAGCTTTCAAAGAACTCACGAGGCATGCAAGGCCGAATATATGGGTTTGTCAATTGGTTGCCGCACAACGGACTCGGCCTTCCTTAACAGTCTGAATCTCTTCTTCTCTTCCCCTCATTCCGAATGACCAAAATAAGAGGACCCTATCTTGGATGAACGCAGTTCAAACGAAGAACAACAGCGCGAGACTGTTCAAATCGAACCGTGGGAACATCCCAGAATTGCGGCTCTTTCTCCCCAGATCCGGTGAGTACATACATATATCAAACTTATGGTGTAATGTGGCATGGAAAGCCCATGCTTAGTTTCGTTTCCACACGACAAACAACTCGTGGGTTTCCTTGCCAATATCAGTTAACTCGATCCCTGCGTCTCTTCCGTCATTCCAATTGCCATTGAACACAGACAAAAGACAAGCACAAGAGTGGGATATGCACCAATCGAACCGTGGGAACGTCCCCGGAATTTTCGTTCGGGATCCTCATCAAGTTTACCACCTTTCCTTCGAAATCCTCCACAAGTGCTGGCAGAACACAGGTTCAAACTCTAACTTACCCTTCTCAGGTCCGGTACATAGTACTAGCTATATCGAACATCTATAGTAGCACTTAAGCCTCTGTGGATCAACATGAGATCACCTCTTCAAAGTTATTCTTGCAAGAGGAGACGTGGGTTCGAATCCCGCAAGAGGCCTAGATTATCAACGGTCTCTTTTTTTCGCCGGTGGCTCCCCATACTCGTCTATGAACCCAGTCTAACGGAGAAACACAAACACGAACATCACTAAGCCCGAGTGGTTTTTGGATGTACAAAATCAAGTTGAACCGTCAGGGATTGCCGCTGCTGCCCGTTAATCGGAGGTTGATGATTAAACGACCCTCACGCCCTTGGGATCCACTGGTTTGAATTCTACCATCTTTCCTTCCAGATTCTGCACCCTATCATATTATTGTTGTCGCTGCTGCAGCTCAAAACAACCCAATTTGATCCTGTCCTCACAACTCTCAGATTGGGTACACACTTATATCAAACATTCACAATAGCAATGAAGCCTCTGTGGATTAACATGAGATCACCTCTTCGAAATATTGTTGCAGGCACATTTCAGTTCAAGAGGAGCCGTGGGTTCGAATCTCACCGGAGGTATGGATGTTGGCGAGTCGTTTTTTGCTCCTCCTTACCGTGGTGTTTTTTTATTATTGGGGAGCTTGCTCCCCGATTCTATTAGTGGATGCCAGAAAGTGCGTCACGTGAAAAACCGCGAAATTGGTTGTGTGTGGTTCGGAGGTTGATGGGTCACGTGCGGCGCTGGAATTTACCGCCAAACCGAAAAATCGGAATTAGCGAGCTCCCCTTTTACGTATCCGGGAACCGGAATACAACACATATTTCGACAATCAACCCTTCCGCGGCATGCCACATATCGCTGGCCTGGATAACTCAAACATCACCCAATTCAAATTACTGTGCTCACAAACCCGCTTCTTCCTGTGTCACACTAGTACTTACATCCAACATTCACAGCAGCCACGAAGCCTTTGTAGATCTACATGAGATCACCTCTTCGAATATTGCCGTGAGCATTTCAGTGCAAGAGGAGCCGGGTTCGAATCCCATCAGAGGTATGGGATATCAACCATCGACTTTTTCCCTCTCCCCCTGATTCTTCCTTCCTTACTTGTACTTATATCGAGCATCTACAGCACCATTCAAGCCTCTGTGGATCAGTGTTAGATCACCTCTTCGAAATATTGGACAGGACACTTTGCAGTGCAAGAGGAGACGTGGGTTCGAATCCCACCGGAGGCATATTCGTGCCCTTGTTTCTTTTTTTTTTTTTTTTTTTGGCAATCCCCTTCCTTCGTCCGCCGCTCCCCATTATGACTGTTGCCAAAAATCAAGCTGAACAGAATTCCATGGCAAATTGAAGTCCATTTACTCCTCCTTTGTTGGGGGCATTTGGATTTAGAACATCTTGCTCTGAGGGCTAAGTACAGGCATGCCTCTGTGGATCAAGATCACTTAACTTCTCAACTCTATATTCTTCATCCAGCGTTGGCAACTAAGATCTGCGCTCGCTGTCGTCGGTGTTGTGTGGGTTGCATGCGATGATCCTCAAACGTGCCCTCCTCTTGGTCTAAGTCTCCATGGTGCTTATATTCATATAGGACTCAAGCCTCTGCAGATCACCGGAAGATCACCTCAAATTATTATAACTTAGAATGAGTACAAGCCATTAGTGAGGAGACATGGGTTCGACTCCCGCCAGAGGCTTGGAGCAGTTCCGAGCGCTTTTCTTTCCTCCTCATCACACCATTCTTTTCTTTTCTTTGCTCCTCACGTCTTTACCGTCAATTTATAAGCTTTCAAGAAACTCACGAGGGAGTTCAAGTTCATGCAAGCCCGAATACACAAAATTTCAAATCACCAATTGGGTTTCCGAATGGACCCGGCCAAGCCTTGGCTTCCCTCAATAGTTGACTGAATCCCTTCTTCTCTTCCCCTCATTCTGAATGACCCAAATAAAATAAGATGTATCTCGGATGCCACAAGTACTTGACAGAACACATGATTCAAACTCCAACCTGCACCCACTTTTTCCTTCTCAGATCCGGTAAGTACATACTTATCTCGAACATCTACGGTAGCATTCCGATCTGGTACACACTTATCTCGAATATCCACAATAGCATTCAAGCCTCTGTGGATCAACACAAGATCACCTCCGATTGTTAGGTGGGCTTTTGTATTCTGGGGGGAGATGTGGGTTCGAATCCCACCAGAGGCTTGAACGGTGGGGTTCGAACACTCTTTTTACCTCCTTATTACTCTCTTTTTTGGGGCTCCTCACGTCTTTACCTTCGATTCAGGCTTCAGGAACTCACTCGAGAGTTAATGTTTATACAAGCTCGAATACACAACAGCCCGCCAATTGTGTTTCGGCACAACGGACTCGGCCAACCCTTGGCTCTCCTCAATGGTTGACTGAATCCTTCTTCTTCCCCTCATTCCAAATAAAAAATAAGATGTCCATATCTTGGATGAACACAGTTCAAACGAACTTACAGCGTGAGCTGGGGTTCAAATTGAACCGTGGGAACATCCCCAGAATTGGGGCTTTTCCTTCTCGATCTGGTACATTACCTATATCGAACATCCACAGTAGTATCCAAGCCTCTGTGGATCAATGTGAGATCACCTCTCCCAAGTATGCGGTTTCCAGATTCTAGTGTAACAGGAGACGTGGGTTCGAATCCCACCAGAGGTATAAGAAGTTGTCAAGAAGATTTTTCCTTCTTCCTCCCCTTTATTTATTTCACCTTGTGTCTTCCTTCCTTAAGCTTACTGTACTTATATCCTACGTTCATAATGCCTCTGTGAATCAACGGGAGATCGCCTCCGATTGTTTAATGTGCGTGAAGGTTCTTGGGGGAGATGTGGGTTCAATTCCCGCCAGAGGCTTGGAGCCTACACTATCTTTTGCTCCTCACGTCTTCACCTTGGATTCATAAGCTTCAAGGAACTCACGAGGGATGCAAGCCCGAATACACAAGAGTTGCCAATTGTGCTTCCGCACAACCGATTCAACCAAGTGTTGGTTTTCCATTCCACAACAGTTGGCTGAATATTAATCCCTTGTTTACTTCCCTCATTTCAAATCACCAGGGGATACACAATTCAAACAAAGATCAACGCGCGAGTCTGTTCAAATCAAACCGTGGGAACTACTCGGTTTTCCTTGACTGTGATGTTAAGCTTCTGCAGATCAGGTGTCTACTAGTTGTATCGAACTTCACAATCCTCACTAAGCCTCTGTGGATCAATGGGAGATCACCTCTCCCAAGTATTCGGAGGCTCGCATGTTTGCAGGAGGAGACATGGGTTCAAATCCCATCGGAGGCATAGGATGTCGTGCAGAAGGTTCTTTCCTCTCCCCCTGATTTATTTCACCTTGTGGCTTCCTTCCTGACTTGTACTTATACCGAACGTCTACAGTAACATCTAAGCCTCTGTGGATCAACATGAGATCACCTCCGATTGTTTAGCGACGGAAAAGAATTCTCGGGGAGATGTGGGTTCAAATCCCACCGGAGGCTTAAATGATTAATGCTGTCTTTTTTCCTGGTGGCTCCTCATACTCGTCTATAAACCCAGTCCAACGGAGAAACATGAACACCAAGCCCGAGTGGTTTTTAGATGTACAAATGAAGTTAAACCATGAGGATTGCTGCTGCTGGGTTCAAGCATTGCATTGCCGCCCATTAATCGGAGGTCGACTCTCACGCCCTTGGG